CTCTACATCAACAGTGGCAAAGAAACAACAAGAAATACTGTTTACCCACAAGCATACAGAAATTACATATATTAGAAACCAAAACTTTCTCATTACTTTATTTTCCAGATCACCAGACTGGGCCACAGTAATGCGTGGCAAGGAGGTGGCTAGAGTGTGTGCGTGCGTGCGTATTCCACCTGGACACTTTTTCTTTCAATAGTGGCCTTTTTTCTTTTTCCCTCTTGCCCAATCCCATTGCCTCACCATTTCTTTGATATACTGGCTCTTTGAGACTGAGGCTCATAGCCTGAAAGAGATGGGTAGAAATAATGTTCATGGATGCTGTACTTCTTCTTTCTCTATTCTGTGCTGCATTTCCCCTAGGGCAGTGGTTCTCAACCTGTGGGTCCCCAGGTGTTTTGGCTTACTACTCCCAGCAATCCCAGCTACTCATCAGGGTTTATGCCAGCAGTCTTCAGATCATTGTGCAACGTGTCTAGCCAGCCTTGCTTCAGTCTCTGTTTGGCCTCTTGCCAGGCACTTCTAAATCAAGAGCAATCTTCCAAATGGACTCATCTTTGCTGTGAACATAACTAAAAAAAGCTCTTGTATTGTTTTAGCCTTTTTAGCAATCTTAAGCTCATTTGGCATTTCAATTTTTTCAGCGGTCTCCCTACATCTGCTGGCTATTTGTTTAATAACTTTTTGGTGATGCCCCTTTTTCCCATTCCTTGTATATGCTCTTAGTTTGGTTGAAAGTTCATTAGTCATCCATCCTGGTTGTTTTAAAATCCCTCCCTTTTTCCTCTTCATGAACTCCCTTCTGTTTTTACTATTCCTGACCATGAGATCAAACTCAGTATGTCCATGTGTTTATTGAAATCAGCTTTCTTAAAGTCTAGAATATGGATCTTAGCATGCTTGCTTTTCCTTTTTCCCTGTATAACAATTCCCAGCAGAACATGATCACTTCCAGTTAAGGATCTTGCCATTTCCAGCCCATTAACTCATGTCCTATGCTTTAATTTCATTAGTCATCCATCCTGGTTGTTTAAGATCCCTCCCCTTTTCCTCTTAATGAACTCCCTTCTGTTTTAAGCATGAGTTTTAAACTAGCTAGGTAGACCTGATGGAAGAGATAGGTCTTTAGATAGGTCTTACATTCTGACAGTTCACTTACCGTATATTCCGGCATATAAGACGACTGGGCGTATAAGACGACCCCCAACTTTTCCAGTTAAAATATAGAGTTAAGACAACTCCCATGCATAAGGCTACACCCGCCTATAAGACGACCCCTGACTTTTGAGAAGATTTTCTTGGGTTAAAAAGTAGTCTTATACGCCAGAATATACTGTAGCTGTCATAGTTCTTCTGGCAGGTTGCTCTACAGTTTTGGGACAGTAAAAAAAAAGGTCCTTTGGGTGACAATTGCCAGTCGGGTTCTGTGTACCCAGCAGACAAAATGCATTATGCCTTTGAGCTACATAATAAAAACCAACATCTTAAGATATGTCTGCTGGTTTTCTTGTGGAGATGTCACTAAGCAGACCTATGGCTATTGTGCAATGGTCCTGATTCACAACATGTTCTGATGTATGGATGCTGTCTTATGTAATGGAATATCTTATTATGATGCCCTATTGAGCATCATTGCAGTTTACTAACATGGTTACGTACTATGTTAACAACTTAAGTCTGTCTTTGTAAAGATATCCCCATAGCCTCTGATGCAGAATCTCAGACATAGTTTCTCCATAGTCCCAATAGACACATATTCTGATTGAGGAAGCAACCTTAAAAATGGTTTTGTGTGAAAATTGCCCAGAATTTTGGCTTGTCTGAAACCCTTGCATTTATTGACAAAACTACTTGGAAAATCATGCAGGGAAGTGCCTGTAATATTGCCCAACATTATCAGGTTTCCTTGACCTCTGTAAGGCTAAGTATAAAATAGAGCTGAATCTAGTTTTGTTGGTAGATTATCCTGCTTCTAGAAACTGGCAAAGGTCAGGCATCTTGACTTCATTCTTTGATCTCTCAGTAGACTTTCATCTGTGTGATCAAGGAAAGTTGCTGACATTTTTGAAGACTGGCTGCAGTAAATGTGGAAGCCTTTCATAGACACAATGGGGTTAATGTCCACTCTAAACAGTTATCTTTACTTTGCTAGACTTCATTCATTACTGCAATTAAGAGAACAAAAATATTAAAATGTTATAGCAAAACATCTGGGATTCTGCTTTCTACAACTGCTTTGGATCAAGAGTTAGATTTATAAGCAAATATATTGGCCAGAATCCTATATCATGTTTGCATATGATAACATCTCAAGTTGTGTCAAAATAGTTGCAATACAACACCCTACTGAATACTAACATTGTGCAACCTTTTGTGTATTGCTCAGTGGGCCTGTTTAGTGTCCTTTTTGTGCAATGTGGAAAACACTGTGTTTTTTTGCAATCCAGTAAACACTGAAGGTGGTGATTACTGTTTCACATTGTCTGATACTGTGAAACTGCATTGCTGGGATCTTTTTGGTTAGTCCCAACTAGGGAAGATCCATTGAGTGAATTATTGAGGAGTCAACAAGAAAGTAAATCCAAGTGATTCAATGGCTCTACTCTGGTTGAGTCGAACAATAGAATTTAAACCCGTGTGAAATGATAGGCCTTGCAGGACTCCTTTATGTAACATATCCTTATGTACATCCACAAGTTGAATGTACGTATGGATTTGACATCAAAAGGATTCTGGCCTTATCTTGTATAGAATTTCATCAATCTCTTTCTCTTGTTATTATTATTCTCTCTCCATAAAATCGACCTGATGTTCAGAACTGATGAAAGGGACTCTGGAGTGTCGAGACAACAAGTAATGATGGAACTAGTATCTACTTTGCAACTTTCTTGTATAGTAGTTAGAGTTTTTGAATCAGGATTGGGGAGCAGTGAAGACTGATGGCTCTGATATCAGCCTTGCAATGAATCTGCTCTAGATTTTCGATCAAACATGGAGGAGCTACCAAAGGTTATGAAGTCTGCCAAAACAAAGCAAAGTTTATTGAATAGTCCATTGACCGCATCAACATTAAAAACAAAAACAGAAACGTGCACAAACAGACAACAATCACCATCCCATTATTTGGAGTCTGTGGAACTTGGCAGAGCAACTTTTAGACTCAAGGACTTTGCCTTTTATTCACTCTAAACTTTGTATTTGGTTGCCAGACTAGTATTCCAGGGGAAAAAAAGGGGGGGGGGGAGCTAGCTGTCTCTTCAAGCACTTAGATGATGGGACAGAGGGAGCTTTTCCTTCACCTTTCCTAGAATCAATAGCTTTTGATGTCATGGGAAGAAGCAGAGATAAAACACCTGGGAGCAAAATACTGCACAAGATGGTACTGGATACCTCCTTACACTTATATTGTCCCTGGTTGTGTATGTGCACTCAAGTCATCTTGCCCTATTAATTTAATTGGGGTTTCTTAGGCAGGGAACATTCACATGTGATTTGCCAGTTCCTTCCTCTGAAATATCTTACAGCACCTGCCATTCATTGGCCATCTCCCATCCAAGTACTAACCAGAGCTGACCCTTCTTACCTTCCATGATCAGATGTCATCTGGTGCCTTTAAGGTAGTTAAACCATACAGAATGGCTAATTACACCAGTGTAATTCCATCCAGAAGGTTCTAGCTAGAGTCCCAGTATTTCGTATTCTTGTTCTTAGTGGCAAAAAGAAGAAAAAGATAGGGGGGGGCATGTGTCAGTGTCATCTTTGCAGCCCCTTTCACTCCTCTCTGAATAAAGTACCGTTTTTCTTCTGATCCCTTTTCTTGCGCGTGCGAACAAATCAGTACTAGCTGCCTGGATGCCAGAGGCACAAGTGAAGAAAGGAGTCTGGTTCCTGCGATTAAGCCACAGTCTTCCCAGATCTTTATAGAATGTTTGGCTAATCTGAGCATAAAGTGCTTTTTGCTTTTTTTTATTCCATGTGATTTTTACTAGAATAGCACTGTATTAAATTTACAAAAGAACCCTGCTTGATTCACTAGGTTCTTGCATGCAGTTTTGCTGCCCTCATATGGTAAGACTGAGTAATCATTGGTCTACAAATCAATCATAACTTTCCTGAGCCAACCAAAAAATGCAGATACATCATGCATCAAGGATAAATAACATCTTGAAAAAATGTAGGTCTGTGACTATCACTAATTTAATAGGGGCCTGTGACTTCTATCACTGCCATTTTTGGGATTTTAAAATGACAATATTAGAATCACAGGCCTACATTTTGTTAAGATGTTATCTTTTTGCTGTCAGTTAAGATGGTATGAGGAATATCAATACAGACAGGACATAATCTTATATGGCCACATTGGCAACGGAAGACAAAAAGTCATAGAATCCAGACAATAAAATATCTCGACATGTTTTAAGTATGGCCAATATGGCTACCCCAGATATGTTCATTGATGCTCAAAATTCAGAAAATAAAAAGAACATAAGACTTATGACTTTGGGTCTTCAGTAATAGAAAAATTGATAGGAAAAAATCAATACAAAGTGATATAAAAAAACCAAAATGGTGTTCTTGAGGATGGTGGTGGCACCCTGGTATTTGTAATCTTTCTTCTAGGAGGAACTTGATTGATCTTCCTATTCAGATCCACAATTAATCATTCTTTTTTCTCCACCCCAGATCCCGTTCTTTGTGTTTCTTGATTTGTAAAAGTGGGAGCAATGTGCTATTTTTTGAAAGCCCTTTTGTTAAGCAGCTGAATACTACTTTCTGTTGTTGCTGTTCTCGGCTATTTACTTGTTTTCTGTTTTTCCCCCACTTCATAGTTTTATGATCTTTCATTACATTCTTGAGGGTCCTGTCAAAATGATGATGATGATGATGATGATGATGATGATGATGATGATGATGATGATGATGCAGCTTCCCCACCTAACTAACCTCCTTAGCTAGGAACTTATCAAATAAAATTTATTTCTCATTTCTCACCCAAGGACATTCCTGATTACCAAAACATCCTTGAGCTCCCATATTTTGATATGGTGATAGCAGAAACTCTCCGTATGTATCCACCTGCATCCAGGTTAGTAGAAATCTCCGTTTCAAAGATAGATTTTTGTTTCACCGTTACAATGTATGCACACCAACATGGACTATGAATATGGCTCTTCTCTCAATCTAGCAGGGTGACTGGATGGTCATTGTTGTTACTGATTTCTTCCGTGTGTTTTGATCCAGAAGGGTTCCCCAGGGCAACTAAGAGCAAGTAGTATAAGACAGTGTCATTATGGCTTCCTGGCCTGTCCATCATATGCCATTGCTTGTTTGTTGGACAACTAGATGCAGTACTGACATAAATGAAAAGGCACTGAGTAATGGAAAAGAGATGCCTAGTATACAAACAAGCCCTGGCAGCACTTACTGACCAGAGGACTGTTAAGACAAGGGCTGTAATGCTTTATTGAAAAGAGCATCTAGTGACTGTGGCTATCATTCTGTTAAGCAGTTGTGATATTCAAAGCTAGGCTTGTGACTTAGTATCATGGCACTATTGCCACATTTGCAACTCCCCATTAAACCCATCTTAAAATCTAGACAGCCCCAACAAAGAATATAATTCTGGAGTGGGTTCTAGCATCTGCTAGTCACACTGCTGCTCATTGTCAGGAAAGTGTTGGATGCATCATCCTTCACTGTCCCTCTGAAGAGGATTGCTGAACTCTATCCTTGGTAGAGTCACCTAGGGCCCTTCCACACACTCCTATATCCCAGAATATCAAGGCAGAAAATCCCACATTATCTGATGAGTGTGGACGCAGATAACCCAGTTTAAAGCAGATATTGTGGGATTTTCTGCCTTGATATTTTGGGATATAGGGCTGTGTGGAAGGGCCCCCAGTCACCTAGATTTGAGATGCATTTGGTTCAGGATCTCAACTTTTATTTTATTGATTACTCTGCTTTTCTATATGCTGCTTTCCTTGGTTGGTAAGGTTTGGTTTTTAGACACTACATGCTGAAATGATCCTTTAAGACAGAAAAAAGAAAACAACCTGAAATGCTAACAAAGCAGAAACAAGCAGCGGTTTAGAAGAGGTGGGGCTGTATTGCTGAAACACACCATCTTGTCTTTTATAGGTTCACCCGGGAAGCAGCCAAAGACTGCTTGGTGTTGAAACAACATATACCTGCTGGTGCAATAATAGAAGTTGCTGTTGGTCACCTCCATTACAATCCAAAAATCTGGCCAGAACCTCATAAGTTTATCCCTGAGAGGTAGGTGGACTGCTGCTTTTCCTTTGCCATCAATGTTAAAATAATTCTTTGATCAGGCTAAACAGAAAGAGTGCATACATTGGAAGTGTGATAATTGAGTCAACATGTTATCCAATGTACAATGGGATAAATCTGACATTCCTTTAGATCCTTTCCAACTTACTACACGATGGTCTTACATAAATACCCAAAAGATACTAGATTTTGTCTAATATTGAAAGCTCAGTAGCATTGGCCCCACTTAGTACTTGGATGGGAAACTGCCAAAGAGTAACAAGTGCTATAGGCAGTATTTTCAGAGGAAGGAGCTGGTTAAACCACCTCTGAATATTCCTTAGAAAAACCCCAGAAATCCCCCTGAAACACATGTCGCAATAGCTCAGTAGATGATGAAGGTACACACTGCACTACACTACACTGTGGCATTATTTTGGAATGGATGCCAATTGTTAGACACCAGATCCGCAGCCAGAAGAAAATAGTCTGTTTTGCCAGTATGTAATAGTTACCTTGCATGAATACCTTTCTTGTGCTTGGTGTCCCACTAGGCCTCTCACTTTCTGTTGAAACTAGGAGGAGCTTGATAGTATGCAATTTTGCCACTAGGTAAAATCTAATGTATGCTTCACAATCTGTTGAAGCAGATGCCGGTCTGTTGCTGACCTATATATTTGTCAAAAGAAAGGGCCATTTCTCATGCTGCTTTTTAATCTTCCTACTTAACAGGTTTACTACTGAAGCCAAGCAGCAGCGCCATCCCTTCTCTTATCTCCCCTTTGGAGCTGGACCTCGCAGCTGCATTGGCCTGAAGCTGGCTTTGATGGAAGTAAAGATAACACTTCTAAGAATTCTTCAGAAGTTCAAGTTCCAAACTTGCCTCGAGACCCAGGTTTGTACTTCTGCTGTTTTCTTTAAGCCACACTTTCCAGTTTACAGGGTAGGCATGGAGAGGGATTATTTAAAGATAGCTTTTGGTAGCAATTTTGACTCTGTGCAGGAATTTACCATATGGTTTAAAAGGGGGAGATGTTTACATTTTTTCCCTAGCCCATGTTTTCTACCTTTATGAACACGTTTTCCCCAATCAACATGGTTAATGAGGAATTCCTGCACATTTGGTATGGCCCAGATGCATATTATTTTATTTTATTTTATTTTATTTACCATATTTCTACCCCGCCTTTCTTGAACCCGAAGGTGACTCAACGTGGCTTTATAACATTGGCAGCTATTTGGTGCCGTTAAAGCAATGTAAAAATTACAATAAACATTTAAAACACAATTATAAAATACATACATTAAAACCTTTAAAAACATATAAAACCGCTACCTTGCCTGTTACTCTCGTTGTCCAAAAACATTGTCTAAGCTGTTCCAGTATTCAGTTTCACATAGTTCCGTGTTTATCTATTGCACAAGGTTCCCAAAGGATTGCTCAAAAAACCATGTTTTCACTTTTCTGCGGAAAATTAGGAGGGAAGGGGCTGATTTAATATGCCTATGGAGGGAATTCCATAGCTGAGGGGCCACCACTGAGAAGGCCCTGTGTCTCGTCCTCACCAGTTGCACCTGTGAAGAAGGTGGGACCAAGAGCAGGGCCTCTCGAGATGATCTTAAACTCCTAGATGGTTCATAGGGAAAGATATGTCGAGACAGGTAAATTGTGCCATAACCAGCTTACCTGTCCAAATGTATCTTTCTCTATGATTGTGCTTGGAAGCAAACTGCCAATGGAGCTGGCATAATAAGGGAGTTGTATGCTCTTTGAATGCCACTCTGGTGAGCAATCTGGTCAATCTGCCACCCGCTGGACCATTTGAAACTTCCGAACAGTCTTCAAAAGCAATTATAAAACAGGCCTGCACATGTTACCCTCCAGGTGTATTGGACTTCAGCTCCCAGAAATCCTGACATCCCTATCTTAGAGCTATCTAGATGTTTTGAATGCATTTCCCATTACTTAGCTAATATGACAAGTTGTGAAAGGGCATGGAAGCTGAAATCCAAAACACTTGTTCAGCACTGGGTTGGGAAAAGGTGATCTAGATCAGGGGTCTCCAAAATAAGGCCCATGGGCCAAATGCAGCCCTCCAAGGTTATTTATCTGGCCTCTGTCCTAAACTTTAGATTTAAGGTTGCCTTAAATCTGAAATGACTTGAAGGTACACAATAACAACAATCCTAATTAACTTGACTTACCTAATCATCTAAAAATAGGCCCATACTTCCCACTGAAATATTTGTAAATTTATGTTGGTTATAATTGTTCTTCGTTTTAAAAAATGTATTGTTCTTTCGTTGTTTTTAGCACTACAAATAAGATATGTGCAGTGTGCATTGGAATTCATTCATTTTTTTAAACTATAGTCCACCCCCCAACAAAGGGACCATGAACCACCCTCTGCTTAAAAGGTTTGAGGACCCCTGGTCTGCATTATGCATTCATGCTGGATGATGTGTGACCATGATCTCAAATTAACTGGGAATTGACCTTAGAACACATGCAAGAAAGACTTTGTCACTCTACATTGCATGGGAAAAGTGATAGAAAAGCCAGTCTTTTCACAATTACCCAACTATTATGTGCTGCCAGGAACTTCTGGATGTCCTTTCTCCAGTTTATATATTTTTTTATTAATAATAGTAATAATAACCTTGCACCTCTGAGGATGCTTGCCATAGATGCAGGTGAAACGTCAGGAGAAACGCCTCTAGAACATGGCTCTATAGCCCGAAAAAACCCACAAGAACCTAGTAATAATAACACTTTCTTTATATTCCGCCCTATCTCCCCAAGGGGACTCAGGGCGGATCACAGTACACATACACAGCAAACATTCAATGCCATTTTGGATAGATAGGACAGAGACATACAGAACAGAAAGGAGGTATGTTGTGTCACCATCCAGCTTTTTTGGCACCTTGGAGGTTGTGCTGGAATCCAGCCACAGGGGGGGTGCTGTCACTTCATCCTCTATGTTGAAGAACCATCAGGACTTCCTCCTTTCTTTTGGTCACCGGGAATTTTCTGATCTTTTTCTTTATTGTGTCGTAAAATACCTCCCCAGTTTGTTTTAGCGGTACCTAATTTCTCTACTTACAACTCAAGCTGTTTTTGAGCTACTTAGGTCAACAGTAAGCTGGGCTGACAGTCAGGAGCTCATGCTGACCCAGGGCTTTGAACTGGCAACATTTTGGTTGGTAGATCATCATTGCTGGTGATTTACCAGCTGTGCTAAAGCTCAGCCAAACATTAACTAATGTTCTCTCCCCCTAAAAACTCTTCCAAATCCTGAGATGGGAAAGGTCAGGTTGAATATTTGTATCACTTCAATAACTGTTTATATCTCCTATTGATATTTAACTTTACTTTGTATTCCATTTCTGTTCTGATCCACCCAGATTCCTTTGCAGTTGAAATCTCAAGGCACGCTAGGACCTGTGAATGGTGTCTATATCAAGATAGCTTCTCGATAGAGGAAAGTCACCACTCAGTGTGCCTTCCAAAAAGACAACAGCTTGCTGTGCCATGCTACCTCTAATTGTGCTGAGAAAATGTAAAAGTCTTTTTTTCCCAACAAAAGAATGTGGATTAAAAGTTGTGTCTTTTAGGATTTGAAGAATTCTTGTTTGCCACGTTATTTTCACATAAAATGTCAGAAGCAGCAAAAATGTTTGGACTATTTGGCTGCGGTTTGCTCATCAAAATGGATATGATGCTAACTTACAGAATTCACAATAATTGCCAGAAACCACGAAGCCGTTGCTATATTTGTTATAATGTAGTATCTTTAAGCATTTTTATTTAGTGTTAGCTGAAAGCTGTTGTTTTTCAAGTAACTGGGAAAACTGTATTTTATGGTTGACTAAAACCATGTTTTTCTTACAGAACAAATAGTTTGCTATTTTGATTACGATTGTAAAGCATTTTCTTTTCTGTCTGTTCCACACAACATTTACACTTATGAAATTGATGTTAATTTTAAAGGCAATGTGGTCCCTAGACCTTTTCAAATAACCAATGACCACAATTTACCATTACATCATAGAATAGCAATCTATTCTGACCAAAGGGAAGCACAATGTGACTGTGACATCAAAGAACGTGTATTCAAAGTTGCTGCTACTTAAATGCCATGCTTCATTTTCTGTACTTTGCTGGGTGTGGGATGCTTCCTTTGGCATGCACTCTTATAAATTCACAAAAATCCAGTATCCATTTTAGTCAACCTGATTTGATATTTAGGCCTCATCAATACATGAAAACAGCTCTTTCCATTGATAGTCAACTAGATACACAAAAATCATGAAATACACAGAAAGCTTTGTAATGTCTATGTTTTAATTTGTATTTAGTTGGAAAGCAAGATACATTATGAGAAATAGATCAACTAGACCAGCAAAGTAGTTTGACAACTCTAAAAGAGTTTACAGCAATAGCTAGCAAGGGTTTTGGTTACAGAAGTCCACAGAAACGTTTGAGTACAGTACAGGACCAAGTGAAAATACACTTACTGCATCATCAGGTAAATATTTTAAAATATTCTTAATGATAGCAAGCTATTGGATCAGGTAGACTTCTCAAAAGCTTTTAGTTATAAACGTCACCCAGGGATCCAACTTTACACCCATCAAGACATGACTGTGTAACACTTATCCAAGACATTCAGGGCAATACACTTTTATTTTCAGAGTATATGTACACAGATACTGAAAGTTTTAAGTGTTTCCAGCATGGATTTGACTTCCTAAATCCAAAATATTAACATATACCCTGTTAATAACGCCTGAAGGCATTGAGGTAAACCCATAAGGAGCAAATGAGCTTTAGAGATTTTGTGCCACAGAGGAAGGAACTAGAACAGTCAGAAGTTAAATTATTGGTCAGAAAACCATAAAAGTACTAAAACAGTGGTTCTCTACCTGTGGGTCCCCAGGTGTTTTGGCCTTCAACTCCTAGAATCCTAAAAGCTGGTAAACTACCTGGGATTTCTGGAGTTGTAGGTCAAAACACCTGGGGAGTCACAGGTTGAGAACCACTGAGCTAAACGAAAGCAGCAATTCCCTAAAGACCTGGAATTACTACTGATTCAATCACACTGTGTACACCTCTCTTAGGCATGAAATTAAAATTTGGCCTCATATACACCCCTCATACCAGGCTTCAAGATTCAACTTTCAGACTAAACCACAGGATAATATTGCACCTGTGGTCTTCTATGTCGCAGAGTTTTGTTTTGCTTTTTTTATAAGAACCAACCTGAAATAATTTACAGCAAAGCCATCTCAACATTTTGGAAATTTATGAAATGCGCGTGGGGGCTTTTCAAAGGCAAATTGATCAACAATGTTGCCACAATCAATTAAATAACAGCAACTTCTGAATACAGCAATTGTGAAGAAAACAGTGTTCACTTAGACTTCAAGATGACAGGAGTATTATCACAGCAGGTACCATCTCAGAAAAGTCATCTACTCCTGTGAGAAAAGAACTATGCTTCTTCTAAGAAGGTATTATAGTACCCACAGATTTGGTAAATTCTTGGATTTAAAAACAAGGGTAGTTTTAAAAATATCTGCATTCTGCCCAATTCAACACAGTACATATGAATCAAAATATTTTTTAAATCAATCTGTGAACTATTGCAGCCCTAACATAAACAGATTTTTCCTTATCTAGTCTTCCAGAAAGTATCTCATAAGGCTGAGAAAGATAAGCAACAGTATGTACTTGGTAACCAAGACTGATCTAATTTCTGTATCGGATTACATATTCAGGGTAAATCTGGTGCTTCTCAAAAATGACAAAGATGGATGGATTCCTGAGATCATTCACACAACTGTTATAGAATCCAGTGCTCTGGTCCTCTTTTGGAGGAGGGCGAAGATAAGACGACATGCCCATGGCAAACTCTCCCACCAAAACTCTGGCCAAAAACATGATTTTATTGGTAGAATCGCTGTATCTGTCAGAATATGAAGCATCCCTGGCAAAGTAACTTCCTGCAAAGAAGCGCAGAAGAAAAAGAATAAGGCTACTTATTGCAACTTAACAGTAGAAGATAGATACAGTAGAAGCTGCAAGTCATAAAAAAGCTAGCAAAAATGAAATTATCAAGTCTACAGAATTACATCTGCTAACACTCTCTTTTAAAATCCTCTACCCTGCCTCCAAGACTGCCATTTGCGATTTCATGCATAATTTCTTATTCTTAATTATTATTGCAATTTCCCCCCAAAACTAGGAGTAAAGGTGGCTGACGTGCACATACAAAAGGTCAACATTAAAATGGAATTAAACTATGAATTTTATCAAAAACAAACTTAGGGGACTGTGGTGTGATGGAGAATGGCTGGACACTTTGAGAGCTGTCAGTCTGTTTGTGATAGGGTAGAGTGTGTAGCTCCCCCCCCTTTTGGTGGACTGAGGCTAAAAAGGACTGCATAACCCAGAGGGTGCTGAACAGATGGTTCAAGAGACATTTTCCCCTCAGGGGTGGTGTCTCAGCGATCCAGATGAGGTGCCCGACGGTAGAGTGGATTGTGGCAGGGCTAACTGGGTTCCCAATAGGGAGCCCAGCATAACAGCTGACCTGTGCTCATTTAAAATAAGAAAAAAGGGGGTGAGCTGCTGAGCTTGTTGACCGAAAGGTCACAGGTTCGATTCCGGGGAGCAGCGTGAGCTTCCACTGTCAGCCCTAGCTTCTGCCAACCTTTGTTATTCCTTGGACAGTTCAACTACAACAGCTTCCTTAATGCTGTGTCTACTTGATGACTTAGTGCATTTCTGACTGATTCCCAAGGAAATTAAACTACAAGGAGTAGTGCAATCTGTCTAATCATTTTGGGGGCAACTCAATCCAGGGTCTATGAAATAGAACAGAAGCAAGAAACCACACCAATGTCTGGGGGAGGCATATCTAGTTACACTGGCTATCTGACAAAAAGTATAAGTTACCAGAATTACCTTTGCCATATGCTGTTCCGTGAACGCCACAGATCCTCCAGTCAAAGTTCTGCTGGCAGATAGCATCGACATGGCTCCCATTTGTCCCATGAAACAACTGCCTTTCATCTACATCCTTTCCACCGTTTGCCTTTTTCATTTGTTCCTTTTGCCTAGGAATGAGATTATAAGTGTTCAATGTTCTCTAAAGCAAAAACAAATTTCAGTTGCAGTCTGAGTCTTGACCCTGATTCTTAAGACCTTTTTCTGAAACCATATTCCAGACACTACCAATGAAGGGAAAGATAGTTGTATTCTTTGAATGGTTCTTGCTTTTTTGGAACTACTTCCCCTAGAAGTTATGTAAACACAGTTAGAAATAGTGTAGCATAGTGGTTTCAGTGTTGGACTACAGATCTGGATTCAAATCCCTGCATGTCCATGAAAACACACTTGGGCAAGCCATTCCCTCTCAGCCTCCGATAAAGGCAAGTGAAAACCCTCTCTGGACAAATCTTGCCAAGAAAACTGGGTGATAGGTTCAACTTTAAGGTCTCATATGTCCCTAAGGCAGTCTCATCTGTATTTTATAACAGGATAATATAAACTTTTAATTTTTCTGCTCAGATTTTAGATTATTCGGAATAGTTCACTATTTTTCTTCCTCCAATGTTACATTCTACTTGCTATTCCTCTTAAGTTATGTTCTTATTGGCTCTCTTTATAACTTCTTTTGTACCTTTTACTAATTTTAGGTTTCAGCTATAAACTCCTTTAAATTTTAAAGCCAGCTCTTTTAATCTACCTTGCCATCTTGAATTTATTTTAATTTTCTTTGGGATTTTTGTAGAGGTATGGAGTCTGATCTGCAAATTAGCTTGTGTGCTTTTAAGTAACACATAAAAATAGTTTGTACAATGAACTAGGGATGCAGGTCTTCACTAATTTAATTCTTAAAGAAAGCAATGAGTATTTGTAGCATTTTTCTTCTTGCTGCTAGCAAACTTGAGACATATCCCAAGCAAGATACGGTTGCTACCAATGAATGATATTGACTTCTAGGACAATTAGACAGCAGTTTATACAGAGATTATCAAATCTGGTTTCAAATGCTGAGCAAAGATGAGAGAACTCTCTTACACAGTTTCTCAACCTGGGGGGTCAGGACCCTGGGTGGTCGCAAGAGTGTGTCAGAGGTTATTGTAACCTTTTCAATTTTATCTATATTATTCCATTTGCAATTTGTTATTTCTACATTATTTCCACATTTAACATATTAACTATATAGTTATACTAATTAATCAGCATCCATTTTGTTTTGTCTTTCCAACCCCTCACTAAAACAATTTGTGTACACGCAATTAATTTGTCAACCAATTTTTCCTTTTGTATATTCTTCACTCCTGCTATCCGTGCATGTAGTGTATTTCTATTAATTATTACTATTTGTAAATTTAACTCCACAAGTGTTCACATTTGGGCATATTGAGTATTCGTGCGAAGTTTGGTCCAGATCCATCATTGTTTGAGTCCACAGTGTTCTTTGGATGTAGGTGAACTACAACTCCAAACTCAAGGTCAATGACCACCAAACCCTTCCAGTATTTTCTGTTGGTCATGGGAGTTCTGTGTGCCAAGTTTGGTTCAATTCCATCATTAGTGGAGTTCAGAATGCTCTTTGATTGTAGGTTAACTATAAATCCCAACAACTACAACTCCCAAATGACAAAATCAATCCTGACCCCCCAGGTTGAGAAACCGTGTAAGAGAGTTCTCTCATCTTTGCTCAGCATTTGAAGCCAGATTTGATAATCTCTGTATAAACTGCTGTATAAACCCAAACGACACCAGTATTCAAATTCGGGTGTATCAAGTATTTGTGCCAAATTTGGACCAGTGAATAAAAATACATCCTGCATATCACATATTTATATTACAATTAAGAAAAGTAGCAAAATTGTAGTTATGAAGTAGCAACAAAAATCATTTTATGATTGCGGGTCATCACAACATGAGGAACTGTATTAAGGGGTTGCTGCATTAGGAAGGTTGAGAAACACTGCTCTTGTCCTTCAGGTTAGATGCAGCATAATGCTACTTTCAGTTTTGCTTCCTGAAATCCTTGCCCTCTCTCAGCTATTCCTGAAGAAATGAAAATAAGAATACATTTCACATCTGGAACTCTGGGACAGGAAAAAAAACCACATGTACAAACATGCCACAGTAGGGGAAAACAGCAGGGGGAATTTCAAAAGCCATGTTGGATTAGCTGAAACTTTTGATTATATTCAAAACCAACCACCTGCATACTTGAATGCCAATAGCAAATCAACTAGTATTAAATAAAAACATACTAATGAAGTTAATCAAGTTAAAATAAATTTTAGATGTGCGCATATATATTTCCACATAGAGAAGGAGCAGCTGTGGGGAAAAAGGATAGTTAGAAAATCTTGTCTACCCCATTACTTTGTAATTAAACAATGTGAGAGATCTGGCTATGCATCGCCTGACATCTAGTCTTGTATTTTTATACCACAATATTTTCTAAAGATCTAAAGCTGAGGAAACAACAGGAGTGTAAATTTGTTCAAGTCGTCATGTTTACAGAAGGCCAAAAGACTTCTGCTAGACAACAGTTCATCTGGGTGTCTTCAAAGGCTTTCATGGCCGGAATCACTGGGTTGCTGTAAGTTTTCTGGGCTGTCTGGCCATGTTCCAGAAGCATTTCCTTCTGACATATTGCCCAAATCTATGGCAGGCATCTTCAGAGGTTGGGGGGGGGGGTCTGTTGGAAACTAGTTTTGTGAGGTTTATTTATCTGTGGAATGTCCAGGGTGGGAGAAAGAACTCTTGTCTGCTTGAAGCAGGCATTGAAGCTTCAAGGCTGTTAAATGCTAATCAAGGTGTCCAATTTCAACATGTCTCAAGCAGACAAGAGTTCTTTCTCCCAACCTGGACATTCCACAGATATATAAATCTCACTTGCCATTCCACAGACCTCACAATCTCTGGGGATGCCTGCCATAGATGTGGGGAAAACATCAGGAGAGAATGCTTTTGGAATATGGCCATACAGCCCAGAAAACTCACAGCAACCCAGTTCATCTAAATTTGGGAGGGTGGGGGAATGGACTCCAGTTTTGCAGACAATATAGTCACATGAAAACAGCAGAACATTTTTGAACATACCACTGATATACTTCCCAAAGAGCCCGGTTCTGGATTCTCTCAATCTTCACAATTGTTGCTTTGGACATTGTGCGCTGAAAGTTGACTTGAACCTTTCTATATTCATTGGAGGATGATGGAAGGGTAACCATCTGCAAAAAATGCACTAGCATAAAAATACATTTCAAAAATGGGCAGAAAAATGCTCAGATCAACAAAAAGTATTTTAAATGTGGTAACCAATTTCTCTATTATCAAGAAAAGGAGGTCAGAGGGTTTCCTTTGGTACCTATTGGACATAATGAAACAGAGTTGAAATGCTACTATACTGGGGAGGAAAACTTAAATCTGTGTTTTGCATTATAGTCTCAATTTTCCAGAAGATTTTCTTGAAAAGGAAAAGACATGAACACATCATATTGCCTCAATACCTTGGCCTAAATTCTGTATGTTTCAACTACAGTTGAGTCATTAAATTAATGAGCTTTTCTTGTGTATTGAACCACAATTCACCAAAACACCAAGAAAACACCAGCCTTTCTTTTTAACCAAGGTATACAGCATGAATATTAAACAGACAACAATAAATAATGAAAATTAGATAAAAGGTCTGACCTTATTTTAAAAAAATCAGACAAAACTGGTTCTACTCTAAAACTGTAAACATATTATCAGTGTTGCCATTGTACATTACATGTTGTCTTTCAGTGGACAGTGTCAATTATTGTCTATTTTGATTCGGATCATTTTCTTAGAACTCCACCTTTATAGAAATGTGGCAGTTAGAATAAAGTCCCCCCCAGGGGTGAGAAAAGCAGTATATAAATACTGTAAATAAACAACTAAACTACAAAAATTAGGACAACTGAATCATTCTGGAGCTCAAAACCTGAATCTGCAGAGGCAAGAATTAAATATTTGCATACATGGATGGAATCCAACCTTTCACATTAGGAACAATAAGTCACCATAAACAGTATATGGGGGGGGAAATCAAGACACACATACACATGAAAAAGAAACTATAAGTACAACCTGACCATTTAAAAATAAGCATATCAAAGCATCCTACCGTATATCCCAATTCTGGCAAGGCTGATTGATCCCAGTGTGCTGGAATTAATGCTGTGCCTCCTTTCAACTTTGCAGCTCCACTTAGTGAATAAAAGAAATCAGATAGGTAATAAACCTTCGCTTTGATAACCGATATCAAGGAGGAAGACTTCACCAACTGATTAGCAGGCAAAATTAATATAGTTGAAGAATACCAATATTAAATTCAAACAGGTTGAATCTCAGCAAATTATCTTTAATTATTGCTACGAGGAAGTATTCTACTAGCTCATGGTCATACTTTTTGCATGCTTAAACAGCTTGGGCATATCCTTGGACTCTGGTTTGTGCCTGGATGTCCCCTTTCCAATAGTGGCCAGGAACAAGTGTGCTAGTTCTCTCAGATGTCAGATTTGGCCTATGTAACAACACACACCTTGATTGTAGCATTGTTGTACTACTGTAATACCTTCATGTGGGACTGTCTTTTGAAAGTACAGTATTTCATCACTTAATAGTTGCACCCCCATTTTGGGGGGTCCAAGTTTTGGCATTTTCAAATTCTTCATATCATAATCTACCAATAGACAGCCTCCTCACTATAAACATCCATCTGCTCAATCACTCATTTGCCCACCCACTCACTCAGAAACCTATCCATCTACTCACCCACCTGCTTGCCCACCTAAAGACCCACCTGCTCCCTTCAATTACTCACCCATTGATTCGCCAATCCACCCAAAGACCCACCTGCTTGCTTCACTCATTTGTCCATGCACTTCTCGGATGGATGGGCACCCAAGTGATTGGACAGGCGAGTGAGTGAATGTATGGGCAAGTGAGTTGGCGGGTGTATTAAGTAGGTGGGCAAGTCTTGCTTTGGATCTTGAATAAAGAGAAAAATCATTTGTCCATGCACTTCTCGGATGGATGGGCACCCAAGTGATTGGACAGGCGAGTGAGTGAATGTATGGGCAAGTGAGTTGGCGGGTGAATTAAGTAGGTGGGCAAGTCTTGCTTTGGATCTTGAATAAAGAGAAAAATCTGCATATAAATAAAATAGTGACCCTTCAGGTATTGTTGGACTGCAACCTCTTGCAATTCTGGTCTGTGTTGCCAATGGTGAGGAATATTAGGAGCTACAGTTCACATCATTTGGAAAGCCAGACATTTCCCACCCATTTACACATATACACACAAACTAACCCAGTTTTTTTCTTCTCTTCTACTTCTTTTGAAGATATGAACTTTGGTCGCCTACGAATACTTCGTTCCGTAAGATAACGCAGATTTTTCTGTTTCATAACTGGGGGAAAAACCAAGAACCAGAAATAAAGTTTATACACACACACACACACACACACACACACACACACTTATCCAACATAAACGGGCCGGCAGAACATTGGATAAGCAAAATAGTTTGATAATAAGGAAGATTAAGGAAAAGCTTATTAAACATCAAATTATATTATGATTATGTTATAATTTTACAAATTAAGCATCCATACATTATGTTTTATAACAAATCAACAGAAAAAGCAGTTCAATACACAGTAACGTTATGTAGTAATTACTATATTAATGAATTTAGCACCAAAACAGACAAGGATTCGTTCTTTCTCCCACCCTGGACTGTGTTGGATAATATAGAACGTTGGATGAGCAAAGGTTGGATAAGTGAAACTCTGCTGTATGTATGTGTGTGAGTGTACCCTTCATATTTGTAAGGTGTTTTCCACATTAAAATAATAATTACTTTAAAGAGTATATAAGAAGCAGAGCTTAATTTCTAGAGAGGTCACATCCTTTCTTCTGAACTAGCTCAACTCCAGTCTCCAATTAATTCCATCCATGGCGTGAAGCTGTGCGTACCACTTCAGACAAAAAGAGAATGGAACAAAAAAAACAGGCCATTTGACTTGTAAACAAGCTGTCCTCCTTCTGATCCAAAAACATACACTCCATCTGAACTCCCTTCACAGCCATATCAAATAAGCCACCTTCTTCTTGTGCTGGGGGACTTCAACATCCATGCCGAGGCAACCCTCACAGGAGCAGCTCAGGACTTCATGTCTGCCATGGCAACCATGGGGCTGTCCCAACAAATAACTGGCCCCACCCACTGTGCTGGACACACATTGGACTTGGTTTTCTGCCAGGGATGGGAGCAGGGTGGCGGTGTGGAGGAGTTGTCTATCTCTCCGTTGCCATGGACCGACCACTTCCTGATCAGATTTAGGCTCACTGCGCCCCCTAACCTCCGCAAAGGTGGAGGACCCATTAAGATGGTCCGCCCCAGGAGGCTTATGGATCCGAATGGATTCCTGACGGCTCTTGGGGATTTTCCCGCCACCTCGGTAGGTGACCATGTCGAGGCCTTGGTCGCTCTCTGGAATGGGGAGATGACCAGGGCAATTGACAGGATCGCTCCGGAACGTCCCCTCTCAAGTAACCGAGCTAAACCAGCTCCTTGGTTCACTGAGGAGCTGGCAGCGATGAAGCGAAGGAAGAGGGAACTAGAGAGCGTGTGGCGCTCGGACCCAAGCGAGCCAAATCGAGCACGGTTTGTGTCCTTTTTAAGGGCATATGCCGCGGCAATAAAAGCCGCAAAGAAAACTTTCTTTGCGGCCACTATTGCGTCTGCAAAAAACCGTCCGGCGGAGTTGTTTTGGATTGTCAGAGGTCTTTTAACTCCCGCCACCTCAGGCGGGAGCCCTGACAATTCGGTCACGCGCTGCGAAGCATTTGCTCGGTTCTTTGCAGACAAAGTCGCTTTGATCCGTTCTGAGCTGGACACCATGTTAAATGCAGTCTCTGTGGATGTGACACAAGCACCTGCTTGTCCTATTTTGATGGATTCTTTTCAGTTTGTGAAACCCGAGGATGTGGACAAGATACTTGGAGGAATGAGGCCTACCACGTCCATCCTAGACCCCTGCCCATCCTGGCTTCTAAGGAGGCCAGAGGGGGATTGGCTGAGTGGGTAACGGTGGTGGTTAATGCCTCCCTTCGGGAAGGCAAGATTCCAGCGAGCCTAAAACAGGCTATTATAAAGCCGCTGTTGAAGAAACCATCACTGGACCCCACCAAATTTGACAACTTTCGGCCTGTTTCCAATCTTCCCTTCTTGGGCAAAGTCATGGAAAGCGTGGTGGCCTCACAACTCCAGGTATTCTTGAGAGACACGGATTATCTGGATCCGGCACAGTCTGGTTTCAGACCGGGGCATGGTACTGAGACGGTCTTGGTCGCCTTAGTGGATGATCTCCGCCGGGAGCTAGACAGGGGGAGTGTGTCCCTGTTGGTGCTCCTGGATCTCTCAGCGGCCTTCGATACTGTCGACCACGGTATTCTTCTGGGACGCCTTGCAGAGATGGGTCTTGGGGGCACCGCTTTGCGGTGGCTCCAGTCATTTCTGGAGGGACGTACCCAGAAGGTGTTATTGGGGGACTCCTGCTCAACACCACAGCCTTTGACCTGTGGTGTTCCTCAGGGCTCCATACTGTCCCCCATGCTGTTTAACATCTACATGAAGCCGCTGGGTGAGATCATCCGGAGTTTCGGGGTGCGGTGTCACCTGTACGCAGATGACGTCCAACTCTGTCACTCCTTCCCACCTGCTACTAAGGAGGCTGTCGAAGTCCTGAACCGGTGCCTGGCCGCTGTAACGGTCTGGATGAGGGCGAACAAACTGAAATTAAATCCAGACAAGACAGAGGTACTCCTGGTCAGTCGCAAGGCCGACAGGGTATAGGGTTACAGCCTGTGCTGGACGGGGTCGCACTCCCCTTGAAGACGCAGGTTCACAGCTTGGGTGTGATCCTGGATTCATCGTTGAGTCTGGAGCCCCAGGTCTCGGCGGTGACCAGGGGAGCATTTGCACAGCTTAGGCTCGTGCGCCAGCTGCGCCCGTACCTTGGGAAGTCTGACTTGGCCACGGTGGTACACGCTCTGGTCACATCCCGCCTTGACTACTGCAACGCTCTCTACGTGGGGCTGCCCTTGAAGACGGCCCGGAAGCTCCAGCTAGTCCAGCGCGCGGCAGCCATGTTACTAACAGGAGCGGGACGCAGGGAGCATACAACGCCCTTGTTGTCCCAGCTCCACTGGCTGCCGATTTGCTACCGGGCCCAATTTAAGGTGCTGATGTTATCCTACAAAGCCCTAAACGGTTCCGGCCCAAAATACCTTTCTGACCGCATCTCGGCCTACGAGCCCACGAGGACCTTGAGATCATCTGGGGAGGCCCTTCTCTCGGTCCCGCCTGCCTCACAGGCACGCCTGGCGGGGACGAGAGAGCGGGCCTTCTCGGTGGTGGCCCCCCGGCTGTGGAACTCCCTCCCTGCTGAAATCAGACAGGCGCCTTCCCTCATGGCCTTCCGCAAGGGCCTGAAAACCTGGCTCTTCGAAAAGGCCTTCAGCTAGTGCCATGTTCTTTGGAATGACCACCGGAATGGACTATGACTATGAGTTTGACTATGACCCCAAACTAGACGAAGCGGATTTTTATATGTTGTGTTATGGTCTTGTTCTATTGTAAATTGTTGTCTTTTCTATGTTCTGTACACCGCCACGAGTCGCCCCTGGGCTGAGAGTGGCGGTTAACAAGTGCAAATAATAAATAAATAAATAAATAAATATCCAGATGACTAATCCAATGAAAAAGTTCTCATTTTGTGAACTTAGCTAAGTGTCGATTCCAACATCGATTTAAAATGTCTCACAGTTAGCATGTTTTCTTACTATGTTATTGTATAAAGTGTGTGTATGGTAAATGAATAAAAAACATGTTACATTCTAGCAATGATTAAGAATAAAAAAACTTTTTGTATGCATCTATATATACAAGAATCAGCAGTAAGAATTAGTCTTCCCAACAAATGGTTATTTACCCTTATGAAATCACTGAAATACCCACAGGGTGAGACTTCTTTAAAAATACAGAAAATTATATGTATTCCTTAAGCCACAAAACACACAATCTGTAGGTGTCTGAATTAGGATTTTTTAGTTGTTAGGATGTCAAATGATTTGCATGCAGGTAACAATGGCCTTTGATTTTCTCTATCGATCGATCGATCTGAACTGGTGGTTCTTCCCCAATTTAGCAATATTTGTGTTTTGTGTTTCATGTATACATGGCATCTAATGAAGACCATCATATGAATTTCGCCAGAGCTGTAAGATGCCTTGAGTCCCCCATGGGGTGAGAAAGGTGGGGTATAAATGAAGCAAATAAATAAAATGAGACATTTTTTTCCTTCCATGTGTGCTTCTAATGCACAGTACTGTGAAATTAATTTTATAATGTTGTTGCACAGGTTTCTTCTTGGTAAGTTTTATTCACAGGACATTTGCCTCAATTATCCTCTGAGCATGAGAGTCTGTGTCTTGGCCAAGGTCACCTAGTAGTTTGCTATGGCTGAGTGGGACCCTAATCCTGTCCTCCCAGTGTCCTAATCCAGTGTCCTGTTATATAACAAGTGCTATATGTTGGAGCATGTAAGGAATTACTTATTTTGCAGTGTGTGTCAACTGCAAAATAAGATGCATGAAGCTGATTGATTGGGCTATGCCCGGGGAGCGGGCTGAGCCTGGCGCTTTTGGATACTGGTAAATTTTTGTTCAGGCTTCAGCTATGCAGGTGCTTGGAGCAGCATAGAGAGAGAGAGAAGCAGAGAGAGTCAGAGTTTGGAGTGTGCTCGCGCTTCATGAGCTACTAAAGGAGTTTATCTATATGGACAAAAAAAGACCACTCATAAAAGGACATTATGTGAGTTGATACAACTGATCACATTGTGCATATGTTGTTTTGCACTACAAAGAGTTAACTACTTGTTATTTATTGTTCATCTGCATGGAATATTTTCTTTCTCTGGCAAGGCAGGGTGTGGGTTGATCAAGTGTGAACTACACATGGTTTATTTTTACATTACGCCACACTATATAATCATAGCCCCTTTCATTCCTTCTTCGGAAGAAACTAGACAATGGATTAGCAGCACTGCTGCATAGAAAGGGCGGGGTTTCTGGTCAAGTAGTTTCTTTTAAGCAGCTTTGCAGGGAACCAAGTTTTGTGCTGCTCACAGCCATCTTGAATCCAGGCTTATAGGCACTCTTCATTGGGAAAGATGGGTAGCAACATTTCTACTCAATAATGAGAAACAAAACATTACCTGTTGTAGGAAGAGAGGAACATTTTAACATGAGAACATTTTAGTTCTCGCTGTACAGAAAAGTAACTCACTATAAGTGATGTTACATTTCTTGTAACTCGCTGTTTCCTAGCTCTGAAAGGTATTGCATGGTATTGCTCAGTATAAGACTGCAATATGGGTTTACAGCCAGCATTCTTCTGGCCCACCTCATTTGATTTAAGAATACCAAGAACACACCTCTGAAATCAAGCTCATACGTATGTTTCCCAGCTGAAAACTTGAGTGTTGGTGATGCTTCGGACTGATAGGCCTTCTCCAAGTCAAAACTGGTCAGTGTTGCAGCAGCATGGTCGAGATCCTGCAATCAAGAGTCATAAAAATAAATGATGGTCCATTTTTAAAAAAAAAAAAAAAAACCTTTGCCAGGGAAACTGGATCTAAAGATGTGATGCATCCTAGGACGGTAAAAAAAGATTCACTGATTACAGAAAATCTCCTAAAGCTTCTCTTAGCATTTTGGTGGCTGGTATTCTACTGCACCCAACTAGAGTACTCGCATTGTCTCTATTGTTGAATGGTGAGTCAATATATAGGTAAAACCAAATGATTCAGTGACTCTAGTTTGTGTATTTGATTTGCATATAGTTGAGTATTTTATTTATTTGTCTGAAAAACAGTAATATTGCAAGACACAAACTGTCATGATTATTTATTTATTTACTCTATTTATATCTCACCTTTCTCTACCCCAATGGGGACTCACGGAGAATTTACATATGGCAACTATTTGATGCCTTTAGACAGCAGACAATTAAATACATTTAAGTTAAAATTTAAAATTGGAGTTAAAATACACATTGAAACATATAATGTTATAATCACTGTTAAAATCACAGTCAGGGGCCCCCGGTAGCAGAGTGGGTTAAACCGCTGAGCTGCTGAACTTGCTGACCAAAAGGTCACCAGTTCAAATCTGGGAAGTGGCATGAGCTTCTGCCAACCTAGCAGTTTGAAAACATGCAAATGTGAGTAGATCAATAGATACTGCTCCGGCGGGAAGGTAACGGTGCTCCATGCAGTCATGCCAGCCACATGACCCTGGAGGTGTCTACAAACAATGCCAGCTCTTCGGCTTAGAAATGGAGATGAGCACCAACTCCCAGAATCAGACATGACTGGACTTAATGTCAGGGGAAAACCTTTACCATTACCTAAAACCACTGTCATAAATAATCATAGTCCATGGTTGTGTTTTTATATATCTCTTGATTCATTTCAGGAAGAACTGTGCAAGAAAATGCTAGTAATTTATGCACGTCTTGTGAATTTGAAATGTTAACCATATTTTTATCCTCAGAAATCAATCTCACTCTGGCTTACAGAGAGGGACTTACACTACAATTATGTACAAAAGGACTCTGCTTTTTTATTCCAGTATTACTTACCTGTACTCCATATTCATTCCAGACGTCACACTCATCTTTCCAATACCAGATCCAATCAGTTGTGAGAATATAATGTGGGGCTTTAGTCACAGAGGATGCTGTAGAGAGGCGTCTAAGTTTGGCACTGTTACACGTCATATTGGAGAAATCAATGACTAGAATCTTGGAGTCAATTCCAGCGCCATTATAGACCATTCTGTAACAGGTTTGTTTTAAAAAAGTTTTAGACTTCACCTGGAAGTGCTACAAAAGGTTTTAAGGTCTAATAATACCAATATTGCTACTTTCTGCAAATCAACAATAGCATTTATTCTGCTCCAAATGTTATTGTACAAGTGTTTTACAGCAGTTCTGTGCGGCAAAACCAGCAAGCTAATGTTTTCTGCATAAAAAGAGTTGGCTAACAAAAGTAATGTTTGTGTTATATTTGTGAGTTTCATTTCCAACAGTGAAAGGATATGTGGATTGTTCCTCCTACTTACTGGAGTAGGCAGGAAAAGTGCACTCCATTCCCAGAGTGTCCACCAGCAAATCTTCATAAGACCTGTCTATGTTAAAGTCTCTGATGCTCCTAAACCGGAATTACTTAGTATAGAGTACTAGATCTCTCTCCTTTTTTGTTGTTGATGGGAAAGAAATGAGGGATATGAAAGGAACTAAAACAAGGATCTAACAAGGGATGACCCCCTTAGTCTTCCATTTCGTACATGATCCAATTTTCATCATTTCATGCCAGTTTGATCAAAGCCCTGTGTAACGCAAAAGCAGCTAAACCATAAAGTATAGTAGCAAAACAAGAGTAACCCACCAGCTAAAATTTTGATAAAATATTTAAATCAACAAGTATCTTCTGAAAGGATCTGTGTAAGTACAATATTATGTTAAGTCAAACCAGATCTATTAACACATGGATACCTTTCATGAAATGGGTCACAGTAGTCTTGCTCAATCTTCTCCATGTTGGGCAGATCTTTCCAGTGGGCTCCATCCAAAGTTTGCCATCTATATGGCAAGTGGAAATGAACTCGAATACATTTATCTGGATTGTAAAAAGCACATTTATGTTAAACAATATTTCACCTACCAGGATGACCCTAACAGAAAAAGTACATGATACAAGGCAAGTGGAAAGACTTGTGGGGTGCTGGTGATTTTTTTTTTGTCATTGGGATCCAATGGGCAGATATATAGCAAAAATGATTTTAACCAGAAAAAAATAACATGGAAGATTTTTCTCATTGACCTACCTTGAAAGCTACAACTTTTCCTAATGTAATATAAGCAAATCATATCTGATTCATCAACGCTATTTGTGGTTGATGGAGCCTGTGAACTGCTCTCTCTTCTTTCTGAAGAAGAAAAATGAAATGTGTAATGTTGTATATTCAACGCAAGAGAGAAAAAGACACACTATAAAACAGATACAAAATGGTATAGGTATGGATAATTAAAACTTCTCAGTTTCACAACTCCAACAACAAGGGAAACCTTTTTAGGAACAGACACAAAATTAGTCCTCCAAATCCATAGATTCTGCACCCAAGTATTTAACCCTTCCTGCTTGAAAATATTTTTTAAGAACAACTCAAAAAGCAAACCTTAAGGTTGCCTTTTTCTATCTCTAAAAGCCACTATGTATCATTCAACTTGAAAATCCATGGATTTTGGTACCCACAGGGGGTCCTGGATATCAGCAGGTACCAAGAGCCAACTTTGTATTTTTCTTGTATTTAGATGTCTAAATTTGGACAGAACACTTTTACTTCTACTCCAGACTTTAAATACTGCTCCTGACGTTGCTATTTTTGGAATCCACACTGTGCAGTAGATAATCCATCACAAACTGTCCATGTAATGTACTGTTAAATGAGCTGCTGTAATTCATGCACACATTTCTAGTAGAAATGGGGAAAGCAACATCTATGGATTGCAGATTGAAATATTAAGAGTACTTTTGCAGAGGGCAGACCAAAAGAGTTATCATTATGAAAACCTGGGCTCTTAAGATACCATCCTAAACTCTCTCAGAAGCAATGTCAGCCACTCTTGCAGAAGTAACAATCAACTCTGTCACTGCTGATACATCACCCAGCTGCTCACAGTGATAAGTAAACATCACCCAGTTGCTCACAACAATATGTAAACAGTTGCAACATGTTTTGGCTTTAGTTTACTTATTCCGTGCTCTTTCTCATGATTAAGGACCCTTCCACACAGCTGAATAAAATCCCACATTATCTGCTTTGAACTGGAATATATAGCAGTGTGGACTCTGATAACCCAGTTCAAAGCAGTTATTGTGAGATTTTCTGCCTTGATATTCTGGGTTATATGACTGCATGGAAGGGCCCCTAAGGGACGAACACAGTGCTAAGAAGAGGCTGTGTACAACCCTTTCTAGACTTTATTTATCATGTCAGGAGTGAACCAAACAACTGTATTGTATTTAAAAAAACACACAAAGTTTGCAAACTTGGAATTCTATTAAATGTTCTTTGACCAGTAGCTGGCCACTTGGAGTGCCTCCAGTGTTGCTATAAGAAGGTCCTCCATTGTGCATGTGGCAGGGCTCAGGTTGCATTGTAGTAGATGGTCAGTGGTTTGCTCTTCTCCACACTCGCATGTCGCGGATTCCACTTTGTAGCCCCATTTCTTAAGGTTGGCAGACTTTGTAGAGCAAGGATTCAAATTTCCTGGAAGCTCCAAACAAACACAGAAATGGGTTGTTGTAGGTTTTTCGGGCTGTATGGCCATGTTCTAGAAGCATTCTCTCCCAATGTTTCACCTGCATCTATGGAAGGTGTGACCTCACAACCTCTGAGGATGCCTGCCATAGATGCAGGCAAAACATCAGGAGAGAATACTTCTAGAACATGGCCATACAGCCCGAAAAACCTACAATAACCCAACGATTCTGGTCATGAAAGCCTTCAACAATACAAACACAAAATAGTATCACCTTTTTGCCTTTCAAGTCTCCTATTAACTTATGGTAACCTCATGAAGTTTACTGAGTTTTCTAAAGCAAGGAGCACTCAGGAAGTTTTGCCAGCTCCTAGGTCTGACATATAGGTGTGAAGTTGTTGGTAGCCTCCCATCAAAATAGTAACCAGGGCTGATCCAGCTCAGCTTCCAAGATCCAAGGGGATCTGGTCTCTTTAGGGTATTTAGGATCTTACCATCCCTTACCTGATAGCAATTTATTTTTGAAGGTGTCTCAAAAAAATTCTAATTCAAGTGTTTAAGAAAATGGAGAAATGGGAGCGCAGTAGTCCCTCGCTACTTCGCAGTTCACTTTTCACAGACTCGTTGTTTTTCAGTTTTTCAATAAATATTTATGTAAAATATTTAAATATATATATAAATGTAAAAATATTAAAATAAATATAGCGGCCCTACTGCGCGGATTTTCACTTTTCTCATTATTAAGTGGTCCTGGAACGTAACACCCACGGTAAGTGAGGGAACACTAATAAAAGAAAGTGCACATGGTCCTGATTGCATAGTCATGTTACTAGATGGGCAAAACGCCCCGTCTAATTTCTAAGGCAGGTGTTCCGAAACTGTAAACAAATTTGCCTATAGATCCCTTTTCAACCAAGAACTTAAGAATAAGTAGAACATGCAGGGTTGTTGCTACAATGTTAAAAAGCTTTCCATGAAGAGTGCAATCCTATAACATTTTCAAAAAAAGGTGAAGTATTTTTACCTTTGCAAGGCGATGGTGTGCTATTTTTGATGTCATATGCATTTCTGTAGATCATGGGAATTCGACCAATTAGAGCTCGGGTTATTCCCCACTTTTCCAGCTTCTCATAACAGTCTGGATTGAAAACATCATGTGACCGCCTGCAGTTGCTTCCGAATCTGCAATCTCCATGGAGGTAGTACTGACATATATGGAGTTTGACACAGATCTTCTTAAAATTACAAGATCCATAGGGACCATCCCCTTTATTATAATATGCACATATCTAGGAACAGAAAAAGACAGGCGCATAGACACTTTGAATCAAATAGAAAAAACAATACAATCCTAATGTCCATGATATCCAGACCCAGAGTTTCTTTTACCCATGTCTGACAATACATATCCTTTCCAGGCATTTCTATGTTCTCCAGTCAATTCTACAGTATATTTCCACTGGAGGTTGAACACATACTGGAGGGCCTGGCAATGCTTAGAGAGGTATAATTTCTAAGCACAACCTAGGTTCCCCAGTGCAACTCTATGGTATGCTTTTCCTACAATAAATTCCCCAAAGTTTCACATATGGGAGTATTGTACTGTAACCTACCCAACTAAGTAAATATAGGCATCTGCAAGAGAAAAGTTTAAAGAACAGCATGAAAAAAAGCTAAAAGAGGTTCATTTCTGTGTCTTAGATCAGAAATATTATTTTCTCATTGACAAAGTTGTACACGTCACTGCTATGATTTCCGCTGTGCTAACAATTAAGAATGAGTCCTATAAGGAAGTAGTCTTCTGAGTTTCGTTTCCTTGTTGTCTTGCACATGTCAAAATGAGTTTCCTGTCTACTTAATCTGATGAAACAAGCAAGGATATAACAGTATCAAGGAACACTGTTCTACTTGAATATTCAAAAATCAAAAATCTTTATTACAGTCACAGGCCAACATAAGCATAAAATCATTGTACATTAAAATCTAAAAGGCTAGAAAACAGAGATATGTTGAAGGCTAAAGCACAAAAAATATTTAGAGAAGGGATTAGAAGGGGATGGAGAGGGAGGGAGGTTGATGGAGGGGTAGGAGCATTTAGGGCACAAGTCTAGGGGACTGGGGTGGGAAGAACAGATTTACATTTCAATTAGCGGATACAGTAGAGTCTCGCTTATCCAAACTTCACTCATCCAACGTTCTGTATTACCCAACGCAGTCTGTCTCCCACCCGAATCCAGAGCTGTTTCAATACATTGCGATGTTTTGGTGCTAAATTCGTAAATTCACTAATTGCTACATAACGTTATTGTGTATTGAACTGCTTTGTCTGTCGATTTGTTGTAAAACATGATGTTTTGGTGCTTAATTTGTAAAATCATAACGTAATTTGATGTTTAATAGGCTTTTCCTTAATCCCTCCTTATTATGCAACATTTTCGCTTATCCAACGTTCTGCCAGCCCGTTTATGTAGTTAAATTGTTAACTTTTGGAAATGGCCATCACCCAGCAGATTTTAAGTGCTGTGGCACAAAACTTGAATATCTAACGTTATATGAAAGGTCAGCCTGGCCTCCCTCACAGTGTCATTTGAGAATAAAGTGAAACAAGGAAGCTTTTTATATCCCCTTGAAGTTTTTGGAAGAATTGAGTACCGTATATTCCGGCATATAAGACGACTGGGCGTATAAGACGACCCCCAACTTTTCCAGTTAAAATATAGAGTTTAGCATATACTTGCCGTATAAGACCACCCCCCTTCCAATGCACACTAAATAAAAAAAATTAAAAATCAGATTTGAATTCAATATGGTAATTTTAATTCAAATGCTTATGACATGCAGGTTCCTATGAGAGGGACATTGTACCTTACATTGTACATGACAGTTGCTCTTTCTCCTTGAATTTCATTTACACTCTGGGTCCTTTACATCATGCTGGCAATAAGTTAAAATAAACAGTTGCAATAAATAATACTCATTTAAAGCAATTAAAAAACTAGCCGAGGTAAAGTGCCATTATCAGTTCCCTTTTACCTTCTCTCAGGCTTCTCCTATTGACGCAGCCTAAAATGGCATTGGCCTTTTCAGCTGCAGCATCACACTATTGGATTGTGGTCGACGAAGATCTCTTTCACAGAATCCTAAAGTTGGGAGGGACCTCTAAAGGCCATTTAGTCCAACCCCCTTCATTTTGCCATCATGTAGGGAAAGCAAAATCAAAGCACCCCTGACAGATGGCCATCCAGCCTTAATATTCACATGAATAATAATAATAATAATAATAATAATAATAATAATAATAAAGTTGGAAGGGAGCTCTAAAGACCATCTAGTCCAACCCCTTTCATTCTGCCTTCATGGAGGGAAAGTACAATCAAAGCACCCCTGACAGATGGCCATCCAGCCTTAATATTAACATGAATAATAATGATAATGATAATGATAATAATAATAGAGTTGGAAGGGAGCTCTAAAGGCCATCTAGTCCAACACCCTTCATTCTGCCTTAATACAATACAAAGCGCCCCTGACAGATGGCCACCCAGCCTCAACAACAACAACAACATTAATACTAATAAAGAGTTGGAAGAGACCCCAAGGGCCATCTAGTCCAACCCTCTTCTGCCTTAATGCAGCAGGAGCACAATCAAAGCAACCCTGGCAGACAGCCAACCTTTCTCAATAATAATAATAATAATAATAATAATAATAATATAATAATAACAATAACAATAAGATTCATACTAATAAGTCTGAGGAGACCCCAAGGGCCATCTAGTCCAACCCCCTTCTGCCTTAATGCAGCAGAAGCACAATCAAAACACCCCTGACAGACAGCCAACCTTTCTCAATAATAATAATAATAATAACAATAAGATTCATACTAATAAGTCTGAGGAGACCCCAAGGGCCATCTAGTCCAACCCCCTTCTGCCTTAATGCAGCAGAAGCACAATCAAAACACCC